ATTGTGTTAGGGTTGCCTTAAAGGCTAAAGCACAAGTCTATGCCTATGTTACTTTCTTGCTGAGGTTAAACATGATACTTTCCAAATATGAATTAATGCTCTGTTTAACATCAGCGTTAGCAGTCTTTAGTTTTTCCATGTGTATTCCAAAAGTATGATTTTCTTGCTAAGTTTTACTAAAAAGTTGAATTACTATCAATTATATGTCTTGGGACTGGTTATCTTGACCTCAAATATTTGTATGGATGACTGGAGAGTTATAATTTTCTTGTATTTCCATAAATAAGATGTCCGATTAACTTTTATTGACTTTTAAAGTGTCTCAATAATATGGAGAAGCATATTGGTGAAGAAAGAATGTAGCATGGTTAATAAACATATATTTAGATGTCTCATTTTAGTTTTATGTCAAACAGAATCAACATTAATTATTGTTTTCTAATGATGCTTAATCGTTAAGAGTTGCACTCAGGAAAATACTTTCAAAAAAGTAGGGCTAAATTTGAAATACTTAGAAAAATGATTTACATGGTATAGTTATAGTACTTGTTTGGTCTCAAGCAGTCTCCCTTTTAAGTAACTTGTATAATAATTGAATTCATTTGGTCGTACAATTCTAATTTATTTTGTTACAAAATTTTAAAACTTCATTTGGTTGGTTGGCAATTCAGGTATCATTCTGATTGGTGAAATAGGCGGTACTGCAGAAGAAGATGCTGCTGCCCTCATAAAGGTTTGATATTTACTTTAATATTGGATCAATTATATATTTCTATTAAATAATATAAGTTTCTCATAATTACATTTTTTTTTTTAAATTTGGAAACAGGAAAGCGGGACTGACAAGCCTATCGTTGGGTTTATTGCTGGACTTACTGCTCCACCTGGGCGACGCATGGGTCATGCTGGAGGTATTTTTTTGCCAGCTGTCATGTCAGTCTAGTTTTTACTGACATGACATGACAGAACAAGTTGTACTGTTTGGTCATGAGAACTGGAAAAGGACCAAGACCGGTGTCACTGGGACAAAAGTTGTAGTTCTTAGTCCCACCTAATAAATTAAAAATGGGACATGGACATCTCTCTTCTGTGTAAAAGACGAGAATGCCCTTGCAACAACCATAAATAAAGTTAAAGTTAGTTTTTTTTTTGGTGTGTGGGATGATTATTGATTAACGTAATAATTAATGTTGGTTTGAATTGGCAGCCATAGTATCAGGTGGAAAGGGTACAGCACAAGACAAAATCAGGACCCTAAGGGAAGCGGGTGTGACAGTGGTGGAATCACCAGCAAAGATTGGAGCTGCTATGCTTGAAGTTTTTAAACAGAGGGGTCTTGTTTGAGTGGAGACCATGTATTAAGAAGAAAAAGAAGAAACCGTTTTCAGTTCAAAATAACGAAAGATAAAACACCCGGGCGAGTTTATATGGTTGGATTTTAACCTTGTTGAGTATTTTTAGCAATCCTTTTCTTTTTCTTTATGAATCCAAAGCCAAAGCCAAGTGCCACGGCATATTTTCTTAGTTTTGCAAATTTGGAAAAACGTACAGGGATTTGGAATTGAGATAACTCAATTATGGTTGATTGAGTTGAATTTGAATGGAATGGGACCTTTTTGTGCCTACTCATGCGTGTTTTTAGATTTTACCTATGTTTCAAAAGATTCCAAAAACTTGACAAGAAATGCCATCAAGTATGGTGAGCTATTCTTAAAAAGCTTGACTTGAGATTGATTTTAAATAAGCTCGAGCTTAATATAGCCTTTTTTATTAAACGAGCTCAAGCTTGTGTTACTAAGCTATTAGGCTTGTAAGCCTAAACGAGCCTACATATATATAATAAAAAACTTATTTCTATTTTTATATTTTAAAATAAGTAATTATTTAGTAAATACCATTTTAGAGAATTGTATATATGAGCCGAGAGTCTGTATAAATCTGCACAAGCCAATCTACAGCTCTATGGCATAAGACTCAAAAGGAGCCAAACTTGAGCCCCAAAAATTTTAAACGAGCCTAGCTCGAGCCTAGTCAAGCTCGGGTTTGGCTCGGCTCTTTTGCACCCTTACCCTGAGAATTAGCAGTCTTTAATAATTAGATATGAAAGTAACCGTGTTTAATCTATTTTGGAAGTTTTGTAAAATCATAACCTGAATACATATCTGATATCCGGAAACTGTGAATAATTTTGTATCTCGGATTTAAATATTTTTAGTACGCCTAGTTATTAGTGTACATATAACTTTGAAGTCATTTTGTACTTTTAAGGTAAAGAAGTAAAAGAAAAAGAATTTTACAGCAGTCATATTCTAGAAAATATAATTAAAGAAAAAGATGCAAGATCAGAATTACTGTAAGTTAATTAAAGATTGGTATTTTAAATAACTATTAGATATATCCTCAAATATTAGGGGTTTTATGGGCGTTTCTGCAATAGTCAATACTGGAGGTTTGTGGCTGTAGCGTTCAAACCGGCAAATATAGTCTTACAAGTTACAAACATTCAGCATACGTGGTCAACTTTTGTACTAATAACCAGTCACGTTAGAAAGCTACGGCTACCCATTAGGTTACGGCCTTAAGGGTTGGATTTTTATTGAACTATTTGGATACAAAAATAAACACGAAACATAAAACAAGTTGAACTTTAGCTTATAATTATTTGACCTAAAATCTTATCAAGCTTTCCAATATGATGTATGTTTTAATCTTTTTGTGCCGAACTTGAATCAAACTTGCTTTATCGAACACATCCCTCAAATATTTTTGAGCTACTTCAGCCAAGCTTGATTTATGATTTATCGAATACATTTGATAAATATTTTCAAGTAATTTAAAAGCTTTTGAATCGAGCTTATATCTTTATTGAATAGAGTTCGTTGAGCACTTGAAACGAGTTTGAACTTAGCCTAATATTGTTAAGTCATGCTTGAGCTTGTGTCATTTCATTGCAACTCTAATTGTAGTTTACACTTTACATATATTATATATGTATTTCATATAAGTATTTTTGATATGTAAGGATGATTTATATATTTAATATTTGTGTTCAGTAATTTACATAAGGTTAAGTGGTGGGGTTTATTCGCTTAAATTTTAAGAAAAGGCCTTAGTACTCATTTTTGTAAGTTGAGGGGTTGATTTGTGATGGGAATACAAGGAAGGGAAATGTTGAAAATTATGTAAAAGATGTTTATTTATTTATTTTGGAGTAAATTACACGAATAGTCCCTATGATTTTGGATAATTTGCGCGCTTGGTCCCTAACTTATTTTTTTAACTCAGAAGGTCCCTACTGTTTGTTTTTGTTATGCGCTTGGTCCCTACTGTTTGTTTTTGTTACGCGATTGGTCCCTGTATTACCTAAGAAGACTATAATTTAAATAGGAAAAAATGGTGGGGTAGGTAAGGTAAGGTGAGGGGAGGGGGTGGGTTTGGGTGTGTCTTTATTTAATATAAATTAAAAAATCAAGGCCAAAATAGTCTTTTTAGGTAAGATAGGGACCAAGCGCGTAACAAAAACAAACAATAGGGACCTTCCGAGTTAAAAAAAGAATTTAGGGACCAAATGCGCAAATTACACTAAACCATAGGGACCATTCGTGTAATTTACTCTTTATTTTGTGAAATCAGTGAAATCTGATATTTGCAACACCTATCAACTCAAGTAAGTACATTATTTATTTGAGTATTAACTTCTCAAATATTATGCATATTGACTTTAAAACAGGCTGTATGTGTATGGCTGTGGATTATAAAGAGTGCAACGACAATAACATGAAGTTGTAAATAATACGTTATGCTGTACAATTTAAACTTTACTGTTCTTTAATTATTGGATTGGACCAATATTGCGAGAAGTGAGTCTAATTGGAATTTTCAAGGCGTTATCGGTCTTTCAAAGGCCAAGGTGCAATTGTGGGTTATTAGTATTACGAGTTAATAATTACTAAAATTGGGAAATTAAATATGTACGCAAATGTCAGGAATAAACAAGAAAAAGTCACACACATACATAACGTTTAACGTGTTTCTTCAATATGACTTACGTCAAATGTCATAAGAGAATATTCTTATTCATGAGGTTGAAAACAATAGTATCAATTGAAACCTTAGTTATCAGTCATATTATATAGGCAAGATACAAAACATAACCTTAACTAGAAGCCTAAGATCTGAGCTGACTTTAGGAAACGAGTTTAAGATCAGAACAACAATAACATCTGCTTCACAATACCAAAAACCATCTTCATACGATTTTGCAACAAATTTTCCTTTCATGGATTGCTTGGATGACCTCATGTAAATGAATTACTTCAACTCTAGTATGGATAAAGAAATATTAGTGTTAACGTGTTTATATACTGCTTGAATAAAGTGGTAAGTGAAAAATAAATATTGTTAAGGTGAATTCATTCTACTGGAATGTACATATTATCAGTTCAGAACGCACGATATGAGTTAGATTATGTCTATTCAAAAATTATATTTGAGCACTTAAATTGTACTAGTATTTGTGGTTCCAGATTTTTCAAACTTAGAACATTTATCGAAATTTGTAATTTTTTTAAAATTTTAATTGAATAGTAATTGGGTGTTTATCATATTTAATTAGAATAAATAGAATTAATTTTTTTTTCTTTTGTAAATTTAAATAAATTAACCCGTATTGAATCCATATATTATACATATTGGATTTGGGAGAAAATGAATTAATAAATCAAAACCATTTATTCAAAACATGTTAAATAAATCAAGTGAATTATACTTACTGGATTTGGGAGAAAGTGAATTAATCAATCAAAAAACCATTTATTCAAAACATGTCAAATAAATCAACTCAAAAAAACCCATTATAAAACATATGATTATTCATATAAAAAAAATCGAAATAATAATTATTTTGATAAAACCCATCCCCTGTTTTAGCATTTTTGTGAATTTCTAAAATTGGTTTGATCAGGATAAATGGGTTAGTGGCAGGGGAAAAAAAGAGAAAACAAAAAGGGAAAAAGGAATAAAATATCTCTCTACTCTCTCACGGCTCAACTACAAAATTCCTTTTCATCTCTGCGTCTCCTCCTGCCCCCACCTCCACTCCCATCCGATCGGAGCTCACCATGCATTCCATGATCTTTTCACCGTACACGCTAACGCCATCAAGTTCATCGATCATACCACTAACATCTCTCAAATCCAAATCATTCATCACCGCATCTCCAAATTTTTGGAGAAAGTCTCGCTCTGATTCTGCTTCGGTGATATGTAATGTTTCAGGAACTTCATCTTCTTCTATCACTGATTTCGATCTGTATGATCTGCTCGGTGTCGATAGTTCCTCCGACCATTTGGCGATAAAACAGGCGTACAGGTCACTGCAAAAGAAATGTCATCCGGATATAGCCGGAGCGGCGGGACACGACATGGCAATCATTCTCAATGAAGCCTATGCTGTTCTATCTGATCCTCTTTCACGTTTCTCTTATGACAAGGTTTGTTTCAATTGCTCTCTCTTCGTTCAATTTTGATTATGGAAGTTTAACTTGTTTACTTTTCGAATTGATGTTCATACTGTTTGTTCTGAAATCGATCGTTTATATGCGGATTCATAAATTAATGCTTAGATCGTTAAGTACTGAAGTTGAATTATTATTCCAGAAAACATTAGATGCTTAACTAATTACAACATATTCAAGATTAATTGCAATGTTTCAAATATTTAAAGTTGAAATTGACTTGCCTTTTTTAATCAGATCATGATAATATTGATTTTGTTCGAAGGTTTACTTTGGGTTTGAAAGTTGAAACCTCAAGTTATTTCAAATCATTTTCCCTCCAAGTTTCCTATGATTAAAATATAATATAAAACTTCAAATAATAATCAAAGATTTCATATGCATAATTGAGGTTTCTCATACAGGAGCAAGCTAAGGTTGCAGATTTCAAAGGTTATACAGGGAAACCAATATACTCAGTATGGTATGGATCCGAGAGTGAGCAGAGAGCTATCTTTGTTGATGAAGTCAAATGCATTGGCTGCTTAAAATGCGCGTTATTTGCCGAAAACACATTTGCAATTGAATCTGTTTATGGTAGAGCTCGAGTCATTGCTCAATGGGCTGACTCAGAAAACAAAATTCAAGAAGCCATTGACGCTTGCCCTGTTGATTGCATCTCGTAAGCTTATGAATTTTGACAAATTCCTACAAATGTTACATAAAAATCGAATATTATGTTCTGATTTTTTAAAAACGTTTCTAGAATGGTGGAGAGGTCGAAACTTGCAGCATTAGAGTTCCTGATGTCAAAGCAGCCACGTGGCAATGTTAGAATTGGTGCAGGAAATACCGTGGGCACACGTGTATCAAATATCTTCGTTGAGGTTGATAAATTCCAGGATCAATTTCATGCAGTCATGGAGAAGCAATCTTCAAAGCATTCCAAGGTGCGTAAAATCTTGAAATAATATGATTCTAAAATCAAATTCAGGATATGTTTTTGCTTCATGTTTACAAAAATTCTGTATATATATATCAGGAACAGGACCTACATTGGGAAGCACGGATGTCTGCAATTCAAGTCATCAGATCATTCACAAACTGGTTGTATTGGAAACCACCCATTCCAGGAATGCCTGCATCTCAAACATCTAGAAAATTATTACAAATTCCAGAAAACTGCACACAATCAAACTCACCAAACATCAACAAGCTCAAAGAAGCTGTTGCTGCTCGAAAACAATCACAAACAGCTACAAAACCAAAACCAAACGATTCACCAGAATACTGGACTCCATCGGCATTCATCCTCCCGGAATCAACAAAGAACAATTCCGACCCTAAAGCTTCACCTAATACGACAACTAGTAAGAAACCTAAGGGGAAATCATACAGTGACAAGTTTGTGGGTTCAAAGATTCCAAGGAGGAGTAATGGTTATGAAATTGGTGTTCCTGTTGTGATGGCTGTTGTTGCAGCAGTTGTAGTTAGGGTACAACTTGGAGATGCTTCTGGTGGTGGAATTGAAACACATGTTGGTGGTTCGTTGTTACTGGATGTGGTTAATAGTTCGTGGCTGCAAGTCATTCTGGCTGGTGTTACGTGGTATCTTGTTGGTATGGCTGCGGTCGAACTCTTAGCAGTCTTTAGGATAAAATCGGATGATACTGTAGAATGAATAAAAAAAAAAAAAAAAAAAAAAAAAAAAAAAAATATATATATTATATATATATATATATATATATATATGTTATAGGTTAAATTGTGTTAGTCTTAGGTTATGAATACATACTCCATGAATTTACTGAAATGGAACCTAGTGCTAGTGCTTATCACTTGAGATTTAAACACTACTAATATACTAAATAGACTAAGGGCATGTTTGGTAGAGAGAATTAAAATGATTTCTCTTGTTTGTTTAATGTTAGAAATAGGAGAAAATAGAAAAAATTGAATTCCTTTCCACCCTTTGAATTCTCTATAAAATAAGGAGAAATGACGAGAAAAAAGAAAATTAAACAACACGGAGAATTGGTAAAAACGGCGGAGAAATGAAAAATAAAAAGGTCTCGCTCATCACTGGTTTCTTACTCCCCCTTCTAGAACCCAATGGAAAAATGGGTTTATTAAAAGTTGTTGGGTAAATTATACGGATGGTCCCTATGGTTTAGGGTAGTCTGCGTGTTTGGTCCCTAAGAATTTTTTTTAACTCGGACCGTCCCTACTTTATCTTTTTTTGCACGTTTGGTCCCTCTCCGTTCTAAAATGACTAATTTACCCTCATCCATTTCTTTTTTAATTAATGTTATATTTTATATATTTATTTATTAATTACTTAAACAATAAAATAATTTAAAATGTGACCCATCACTACCCCCAATCCTCCTCCCCTCCTTATGTCCAGTCACCGGAAAATTACTTCTGGCCACCACCGTCACTAACCTCCGATCACTACACCGGAAAATTACTTCTGGCCACCACCACCACCAACCTCCGGTCACTACCACTGCTACAAATAAGAACCCTAAAAATCAGAAATTGAAACTGAACCTAGTTAACCAACAAAGACATTAAAACTGAACTAGATATCAGAAATTGAGATCAGATGAAACCTATAAATCAAAATTAAAATTCGAAATCAAAATGTTTGAAACCCTAACACTTTCATGATGAAACCCCATCTGAAACAATTAATGAAGCATATCACATTTGAAGCCCGTCATGATGCTCTCAGGCCGTTGGTTCTCTGTCAACCCTTCCCGTAATATTCCCAATAGCAATGAGCAGGGATGCTATGGGAAAGGGAGACACAGAGAGAGAGAGAGGGGGAAGAGAGAAAGAGATAAACACAGAGAGAGATTGGGTGGTCGTTTCCAATCTGCTTTCTGTTTTTTTAAAACCAAATGATTGTCGTTTCAGTGAAATATCGTGACTTTGGAGTGTAAATCGGGACCGATGGCACCTTTAGAGTGGTTTCTGGTGAAGTCAATAGGTGTCGGAGGATGTCGACAGTCGACGATGGCTCTAGAGTGTAGATCGACGCTTTGTGACTGCTTGATGGAGGCTTTAGAGGGGCTTAGATAGAGTATAAAGATGGTGAGGCATGGTCGACGACTTTGCTGAGGTTTCCGGCCGGTGTTGTTGGCCTGGAAGTGGTGTCCGACGACGGTGGGTTTAGTTGTCCATTAGGGTTCTTGAGTTTAAATAAGAGGGGAAGATGCAACTGGTAATGAAGAAGGAATGGGGATGAAGATGAATAGGGTATGAAGCGATGATGACGACTATATACATTTTTTTTATTTTATTTAAGTTTTTTTTCAGTTTTTTCAACTTATGTTTTATTTATACTTTATAATAATATATAAAAAATGAAAGTATATATATAATATATATATATATATATATATATATATATATATATATATATAATAATAATAATAATAATATATATATATATATAATAATAATAATAAGGGTAATCTTGTCATTTTATGTCTATCAGAGACCAAGCGTGCAACCAAAATATAAAGTAGGGACGGTCCGAGTTAAAAGAAGTTGTTAGGGACTAACCACGCAGACTACCCCAAACCACAGGTACCATTCGTGTAATTTCCTTTTTTACAACTGTTTAATTGTAACAATGAATTAAATTAGAGTTGGATTAAATCTTGATTGGACAAAATTTTAATAGATAATAGACATTGTTTCTTGTTTTTGACTTCAATCATCGCTGATAGTTTTTTTCATGTTCCAAATAAAAGATATTTTTATAAAATTTAATTCAGATATAAATGTTAATTAACAATTATAAAAAATAATTGGTGAAATATAATTGAAAAAAATAAAAAAAATTAGACATAAATAATTAAAAATATACATTTACAAATTAATATGTAAAATAATGTTGATTGAGAGAATTTAAAAAAATTATTTCCATTCTACTCTTTAATAAAACCAAACAAGAGAATTGATTCCCGACTAAATCTCTTCGTGAATTCTCAGTTGTACCAAACAGTGGAATTATTTCTCTTTCTCCGATTTAATTCTCTTTCTCTGCATTTCCATTTCATTGTTCAATTCCATTTCTTTGTACCAAACGCAGCCTAAGGTGTTGTTTGTTTTTTCGAAGAGAAAATTCATGAAGTCTGCGGACCACTTCTGCAATCCTCTGTAGCAGAAGATGTGGAACAAACGGCTGCAACCTATAATAAAAAGCATGTTTGTTTTTTAACATCTGCAAACAGCTGCAGTAAACTGTAATCTAAATAAACTAATTTTATAAACTGAAAATAGTTCTCAACACCAAAATTTTTATAATTCTACTCTTAAAACATTTGAAAGAATACTAAAAAGAATATGTAAAAAAACAAAAATATAAAACTTTTTAAAAAAAACTTTAAAAAATATAAAAGAAGCTAATAGTTTTATTCTAGAAAAAAATTAATTTTATAAAACATAAAAAAAGAAAATAATAAAAAAAATTAAGAAAGTATTGCAAACGATGTCTACGAAATTCGTAAAAAATTTCACACGTTAAAAAAGATGCAACTGAAACTGAAAAGATTATTAACAAAAACGGTAAAAAAAATTAAAAAAATCAAAGTTTTTTTTTTTAAAATCAAGTTTAAAAAATTTGTGGAAACTATAAAGAGAAATTGTATCAAATCCGTAAATAAAAGTTTAAAAAAATCAAAGTTTTTAAAAAAAATAAGTTATACCAAAATTCTAAAAAAAACACTTGGAAAAAATGAAAGCTGAAGAGGTTTGAAGAGGCAAGTCAAGTGCTGCGCCACGCAGCACACACACAGAAGTTTTGTAGTCTGAAGCCTTCCAAAAAACAAACTGCTGCGAGAGGGAAAGTGTTGCGCGTGTGCTGCGTCGCACAGCAAAAAGTGGTTTGAAGAGATTTTTTAAAAAAACAAACAGCACCTAAATAGAGTGAGTCTATGATCAAGCTTCAATTTAAAGATGGTCTGCCATTCAAAAGAACCGGTGTAAGATAGTAGTCCTACTCCTACATGATCTTCATACTTTACAAACTTTCGTAATTATATTAAAGGGTTAATGTCACTCTTACGCTACAAACTTTAGGTTTTCGATCTCTTTTGATTACTATTCCTTTTTAATATTCTAAGCGATTATTTAGAAGATAAAGAGGTCATCCGGTTGCAACTATTACATGGTATGCCACATGGCATGACATTTTGGTAAGCAAAGATTACACAGGTGGCGCCGACACACACATGGTTTTTTCTTATTTTAGTATATATTATCATAAGACCATCTCCAATGCATTGAACTCAAATGAGTTCAATGGATTGCCACATGTACATTCCACTCACTATACAATTTTACCTATTAAACTCTACACTCCATTAAACTCAATACAATTTAATGGATTACCACATCATTTATGTGTGTGTGTGAGGAGAGAGAGTGTAGAGTTCAATGGGGATTGAACTCTCCATTCTATTGAGTGTCATGTCTTTAACCCACAATGGGGATTTTGAGTTTAATGAGATTAAACTCCCTATTAAACTACCATTGAAGATGGCCTAACCCTTATTATTATTATTATTATTATTATTATTATTATTACCAAACTAATTATCATAATTAAATTCAAGAGTCGAGACATCAAAAATGATTCCCAATTTCAAACCATCATTTCTCTTCCCGGTTGTTAAATCTCGACCACCACCACCCTATTGATTTTATTCTCCACCACCGATCAACATCATTCACCACTGAATAGCGACCAACATCCTCCACCACCCATCACCATCTTTCGGAACAAAATAATCGAACAAAAAAATAGCTAATCGAAATATCCCTCCTTTAAATCGTCTGAAACCAATAGAATTCCCCAAAATAGTCTCATGTGCAAATTACAACCTAATACATTATTATAAGGGATGGTCCGTTGATTTTAAGGCCTTGGACGAAACTAAAAAATTGGCACATAAATATAATTTTTTTACCTATAACCAAAATTCATTAATACTATCATAGTTGTTATAACAATACCTATAATATATATATATATATATATATATATATATATATATATATATATATATATATAGACACATTTAGGAGGCATACATTTTGAAATAAAATAACAATAATCACTCGAATACTAATGAAAACTGAAATTATGAAAGTAAATTCAAGAAAATCTAAATAACTAAATTAGAATTCTGAATTCAAAAGAACAATATCAAGTACAATGTGGGTAAATCAAAATTCTTATTTTTGGAAAGAACATAAATAAAAAATTCAAATTTCAAAAACTTGAAAAGAAAGAATTCAAAAACTTAAAAAGAAAAACTAGGTTCGCAGGTTGAAGTCCTAGGAACAACCAAAGTTGTGATATGTTGTCTCTTGTGTGAATGTGACTGCCAAATAATGAAACATCTCAAAAATTCAGAACAAAAATTTCATTTTTATAATAATAAAACCGTCATTCAAAACGTGTTCATAAAACCATAAAAGAAAATCAGAGTATGTCAATAATCATCCAAATACATTAAGCCAACAAAATGCGGAACAACATGGTGTGTGCGATTCAATCATCCTGAACCCTTCCCCTTCGATCTAGAAGTACCTGAAACATAAACTTAAAACCGTAAGCACAAAGCTTAGTGAGTTTCCTAAAATACCTCATACCATATATATCAAAATACAAT